TTTGTGTGATACAAAAAGTATTTCTGTTAAATTTTGAAAAGAATTTATGATTATATATAAATATATACTTATTATATATAATATTTAATTTAATAAAATATAATAATTTAATTTAATAGAGATTATATATAATATTCTATAAAAATATGAAACATTTTTATAGATATGTTTTGTTGTGGACTAAGAACTTTTATAAAAAATAAAATTTTTACAATTTTTATATTTTATATCGTTGGAAGTATGATATAAAAATTCCTAGATAATTTAGCAAACCGATTTTCAATTTACAATATAAAACAATGATAAATTTATGATAACATTATAAGCGTACATCATTAACAAATTTTCAAATAAATGTTGTTATTTGTTTAAAATAAGCTTTATTGCAATTTTAATATTTACCTTAGGGGACACGATTTCCTCTACAACGTTAGATTCTCCTCGCGTTTCGCGACCTTTTCCAGAATCAATCCGGACTCGTCACGCGGCCGCGCATTTTGCCTAGGCGCGTCACGCGTTTTTATTGCAACATTTACATCCTGATTTCGCCTGTCGACGCACGGCATTTTATCCCGATGCAAAAACAGAAAGAGGCGACCAACGAAATATTTACCCTCCAATTCGGACATGTAATAACTCCGGATATTTCACTGACAGTCCGTTTATGCAGTCCGATTATGCCCTCCTCTTTCCTCTTGTTTGATTTGCACCGGAATATTTTACGTACGTCGATGACGTCCTCTCCTGCGCGGTGTTTTTCGATAAATCGACCGAGCGACGAGTGTTAAAAAGAAAAAAAACGAGTCGTTAAATATTTGTCGTTGAATTTGCATGCGTTTGAGTGCGTTGACACATTTTTTTATTTAGGAAAAACAGACCGTGAACATGTGTATAAATCTTGAATAGATAGAAAAAGAAACAAAGAGAGTATCATGAATGTATGTGGTAAGTGAAGCTTTCAAAATATTTGCGTTTCATTTATTTGGCGTTTCGGTATTTTTATTCCCACCCCGCGCAAACACATATACATACACACAGATTCGTGTTATCAATAACACATAGAAAAAATTTTACGACGCTAAAGTGACCATATCGAATTCGCTCAGATCGACCAGATCGTGTCGGATTTCCTCCTCCCTTCCCGAAACGGTCGTGAAATTTCGAGAACGTTATTTTTTTGCACGATGGAATCGAAACGTTAAAACGCAAATAATTTCATGGTAAATCGCCGTATTCGTTCCCCGAATTTCCCGCGATTGCAAACTTTACGATTTATATTTTCAGTGATCAAGCATTTTTTTCTTGTTTTTTATTTGTTTTATCTCAACTTTGCAGCGTTGTGCATATAGTTATAAAATCGTAAAGCAAAAATTATCGTTTAAACATTCGCCTATAAATTAGGAAATATGGGCGGCGACACGAAAATAAATCAAACTCGGAGGAAAATTTTTTTTTTTTTTTTTTTTTTTTTTGCAAAAAACGTTGTTACGGTCGATGAACTTCGTCGTAACCGCGCCTTGATTAATGCAAGAAATATTTAAATCACGTATCCATTCCGATTACATTAATGCATAATGCATGCTTCGAGGTAAATCGCGGCAATTCCTTAATAAATCGCGATACTCCAAAACATGGTAAAAATTCTTTGAAACTAAATAATCATTTTCATATAATTGCGGCGCAGAAATTTTTAAAAGTTTCTCTCTTTTCCTCGTATAATTTATAAAGTAAAATTTCTACATAATTTATTAATAAAAAATATATATATATATATATAATATATAAAATATAGTTTTTTTACATGTATAATAAAAATAAGTATAATAATAAAATATAGTTTTTGTATAATAAAGTGTAGTAATAAAGTAATAGTTATAAAATATAATAATAAAGTTTTTATACGTAATAAAAAAATTATAATTATATCATTTAATTATAATTTATTATAACTTTTGTTATGTAATATAAATTATATATTATCATTCCATTATACGTATTACTTTGTTATGTAAATTTATATTGTGTATATATAAAAATATATAGTGTATGTTATATAAATATTATATAAAAATTTATATATTCTATATTACATTTCGAATCCGAATAATAATATTAATATAAAATAAAAATAAGACTTATATCATAGTATAAATGAATTTTTCCGATTTTAATCAAAAGAATAATAATTGCGTGCATTTCTTTAAACGTAAAACATCTTTTAACTGATTAAGATTAAATCACTTTACTGAAGGAGAAAGGAAAAAAGGAAAGAGGAAATCGCGGATCACGCGCCAGTTATTGCACCCTGTAAGCGCCATATTGCGACATGCTAATGAATTTTTTCCTCCGACGGCAGGGGAACGGAAAAAAAGATTAATTCACCGCGGATGCCTCTCCATCTGGTAGAGGGGAATCGGAGGTAAAGGGAGATATTAAAAATTAATCCTCTTGGCCGTTAAGGACTCCAGCAGGGTTGTTCCGGGATGGCGACAAGTGGTCGTAATGAACGCTCTAATGAACATGCACAATGAGCACGGTCTCGTTAAGCCACGTGAATCGATCGATCATTAACACGTGGCCTTTTTTTTAACTATATATTATTTAGGTGCCAACGACAAGAGATGAAAGAGGTAGGTAGACATAAAGTTTCATGTACCACATAAAAATGGAGCGAAAGAAGACAGTTTGTCCCTTCTTCAGGGTAAGTTTTTGCGAACTGGAGATTTGCGGAAAGTTTTATGATTGCGGAAGACTCTAGGGAGAGTCCAGAAGTGTGCGAGTGAAGTGTTTGAATTTTTCGGACGAGACTTTCACGGGATTGCAAAGAATATAGAAGTTTATCGCAAAGGCAGAAAGGGATGAAAAAGAAGAACATTAATATATTGTAGATGCGAAATACACATATGCATACGAAATATATATACTACTAAATTCTCTCTATACTGTGTATTATTTATTATACAGAGTGTCCCATTGTAAAAGATCCACTCAAACATCTCAGAAACACTGCGTTAATTCGAAAAGTACTTAATAAAAAAATATTTTAGTGTTTTGAAAGCTCTCGAGATAAGCTATATAAGAACATGTATTAAAAATAGTAGGTTCCATTTAAGATATTGAAGGTGATCTTTACGTGACCTTCAAACAACTTATTGAAAGCTTTGTTTGAAACATATTCGATTTAACGCAGTGTTTCTGAGATATTTGAGTGGATCTTTTAAAATCAGATACCCTGTATACATTATATTGCCTCTATATACTATATATTATCAATTTTATAAAATTAATATAATATATATATATTGAGTATAAAAAAATCTGCGGTTATGGAAGGACATTTGACGGCGACGCTAGCGCCCTCTACGAACTTCGATAGTAAATTTTATTTTAAAAATTGAAGGTGACCTTTACGTGACCTTCAAACGACTATCCAAAGTCAAATATTTGCCACTATCTTATGTCTCCATTGAAGTCATATAACACTTTTGTTGGAAACATTTTTCAATTTAACGCAATGTTTGATATATTTGAATCGATTTTTTTAAATGGAACACCCTATATATATATATATATATATATATATATATATATATATAATGTTTCAAACAAAAGTGTTATATGACTTTAATGGAGACATAAGATAGTGGCAAATATTTGACCTTGGATAGTTATTTGAAGGTCACGTAAAGGTCACCTTCAATTTTTAAAATAAAATCTACTATCGAAGTTCGTAGAGGGCGCTAGCGTCGCCGTCGAATAATATATATTTATATATATATATATATATATATATATATATTATATTCATCTACATGCTATATTATCGGTTTTATAAAATTAATATATGTATATTGAGTGTATAAAAAAATGTGCGGTTATGGATGGAATGACATACGGCAACGCGCTAGCACTCTCTACAAACTTTGATACAGAAACCGACGGCACACGCTAAAGGGTGGGGTAAGGGAGGTGGAGGAAGGATGCAATCTCCCCTATCGTGTAGATCGGAAGCCAATTAATATCCACCACGCATTCTACTCATCCCCCATTCCCCCTTTCGTACACATGCTGAAACATAACTACCCGCGTCGTGATATACTCGCGCCATGGGACTCGCTTGTCAGCGACGGGACCCCATAAACTACAGACCGTCGCGATAACCGAAGTTAATCGACGGTTATCTCGTTATCGCGGCGCGATCTCTGCGAGATTATAACGATGAGACGTCGTCGTTTTATCGTCATCGTGGCTTCACGAGCGTCGCAATAATTAGCGTCGATGGCCTGATTACGAAGCTAATCGATCTCTGTCGAATGAGCTTTTTAAAAATGTCGATTTCGATCGCGATGACTGTCAGCTTTATTTTATATCGAATTTGTGAAAATAATCAGTTGTGATTAATAATAAAATATATGATTATTTATTATAATTATTAAAAATTATTTAAAATTATAATTATTAAGAGGATATCGGATTAGTTCTATTTTATCGAAATCGAAAAGTGAGGTTAGATTCAAAATATAAATAATAATCAAAATATAATATATCAATAAATATAAATGAAATTATCAAAATATAAATAAAATTGAATTTATATTTTGAATGACTATATGCAGATTGATAAATCCTTTTCCACAAAAGTACTTAATATTAATAAACCGCGTTAGCTTATAATTTCAGGTAATAAACAATCTGTATAGCCAATAAATAGATTTATAGTCTAATCTCACTTTTCGATTGATAACACAAAACTATTCCGACATTATCTTAATATATTTAAAATAATTAATTAAATTATTATTTATTCATTTATTTATTTATTATCAATTATTATTTCTCATATTTACACGCACGTTATATTATTTTCGATATATAAAAAGTACAGATATTTTTATTCCTTAAAAAATTAATTTTTCAATATATAATGAATATATGTATTTCTCTGTTCTCATTGAATCTTCGTTAATTAAATGATAACTTGAAAATATATTATCACTCACCTTATAGATCTCGTCGACAAGTCTGGTCAGCTCCTCGGTCTCCATGATATGACCTCCTCTTAGATGAAAATTTTGTTTTTTTCCTCTAACTTTGTGAGATGCTCATATTTTTCGTCTTCCCGAGACCGGATCTCACGTGATCGCTCCGCTTTCCCGAACTCGATCCACTACACTCGATCACCCGGTTGATATATAACGCTCCGAATCTAGAATACGAGGGAAAACAGAACAGAGAAAATTAGAATTGACTCACAAAAGTTCGTTAAAATGAAAACATATGTAGGTGCAAGAAAAAAGCATTTAATAAACTAATTTTCAACTATCCTCTCAATTATATTTTCTATATTAATATTAATACGTGTAATAACTAAGAAATATAAAATTTAATATTGCATACAGGGTGACTTATTTTAATCTCATGAAGCAAATATTTGGAAACCACGGAATTTTTTAAAAATATGCCAAGGAAAAGTAGAATTTCGATATAAAAATCGTGACATAAAATTGCCTTTGATTGTGTTTTTGATCATTTAAAAGTCAATTAAATTTTTTAAAACAAAACCAGCTTATTTTTTTATATAAATTACAATATATATATATATATATATATGTTATGTACTAATAACTAATAAATGACAATTTAACTAATAAATAACAATTTAAAAATTAATATTGCATCCTTAATAAATTTAAAAAATATATTAATTTTACATTTATAACAAAAAAATCCATATGTAGAATCTTTAGATATATAAAAATCTTTAAACTAATAGATCTTTATAAGTTCGTAGGTCTTTGACTTCACTGGTATTCCGCTTCGTGTATACACTCAACTATTTATCCGTTACTATATGTTTTTTTATGATAATAATCGCTAATAGAAAAGTGCATTCCTCGTTCGATTATATGATCAATCGGCAGGAATGGCCGACTGGAATCTCAGAACGCCGGCCGCTTAGGCTAAGCTCGGGCTAAGCATTACTCATACACGGACGAGAGAGAGAGGTCACAAGTACTTTCATTCCGCAAGGACACCCGGTATGCGCGAACGACTATACGAGAAAACACCACATAACTTCGCCGCTCTTGTAATGTATTTCTCAATGCGGATCTACGGATCGCGTGTCGAAGTGGTTCACTGATTGCAGATTGAAAACCAGATATAGTATAATACTATATATAGTAATATATTTTATTTTAATTTTATTATGCAATATTATTACTTTATATGTATAATGTACAATTATATATATATATATATATATATATATATAATAGTTATTAAATATTAGGATATGTGCAATAACAAAATTAGTTAAATTAGTTACGACTAAGTTAGTCGTAACTAATCAATAGTTATTATAATAATTCATTATTGTAATAATATACTGTAATAGTTGTCATTGTAATAGTTATTTCATAGTAATATATAGTATATATTACTATATATAGTATATGTTACTATAATAATATATAGTACATATAGTTATTATATGATAGTAATAATTATCATTGTAATAACTATTATATGACATAATAATATATAATAGTATATACTAGTAATACACTAGTATATATACTAGTAATATCCCCTATAGCACGAAATATTATTAAAATATTGCATAAATATTTCAATATTGCGCCATATTACAAATATTGCAGCAATATTGTGCAAATATAATAAGTTATTATTTTATTGGAGACATTGCAAAATATTACTGCTATGTTATAATGCAATTACATAGTTCTTTCATTTACCACTATGCGCCGCAAGCTGAACTATCTAACTTGCATTAAGTTTTAGTCCCGAGAATTATATAAAGCATGCAAAAAGTAGCAATTACAGTCAACACTTTTAATCAATTTAATTTTTTCTGATACGATCCTAATACAGGGAACTCAAATATTAAATTGATTGCTCAGAAATGAGATAAATAAATGTCTGAATAAATGAATTTTTCGACGCGAATTTTTAAATCACAGCTTCTTCAACTTTATGGAGTAAACTTTATGGGTCGATTATGGCTGCTTTTATATAGGTTGTTTATCATTATTTTGTCTCTTATTATTCTCTTTCTCCGAGATATATTAATAAAGAGATATTAATAAATATATTTTTATTAAAAATGAGAAAGTTGACAAAAGAGATTTTATCCGATAGGAGAAAATGTAGGGTGTTATTGATATGTTATAATAAAGTATATTTTCTCTCTCAACATTATATTTTCAATTTTATAGAATTTGCAATCTTTAAAACGACAAATATTTTTTAATAAACAAAATTATCTTTATTGTGTATAGAAGGTTTTACAAAATTTAATTTATTTAATCAAGAAAGGGATTATATTAAGTAAACAAAATTTGTATTATATTTCTATAATGTTAAATATATACATATATGTATAAACATATATATATATATATATATATATATATATATATATATATCCCCTACAGCACGAAATATTACTAAAATATTGCATAAATATTTCAATATTGCGCCATATTACAAATATTGCAGCAATATTGTGCAAATATAATAAGTTATTATTTTATTGGAGACATTGCAAAATATTACTGCTATATTATAATGCAATTACATAGTTCTTTCATTTACCACTATGCGCCGCAAGCTGAACTATCTAACTTGCATTAAGTTTTAGTCCCGAGAATTATATAAAGCATGCAAAAAGTAGCAATTACAATCAACACTTTTAATCAATTTAATTTTTTCTGATACGATCCTAATACAGGGAACTCAAATATTAAATTGATTGCTCAGAAATAAAATAAATAAATGTCTGAATAAATAAAAAAAATAAAAAAATTAATATTCTGCAATATTTTATAAATATTATATTCGTCTTTGTAGAAATAAATCAGTATCATTGCAGAAATGTTGCACAATATAGTTTGAGGGCGGACATATCTATATATTGGCAAGCTTTTAGGAATATTGCATGCAATATTTCAATCTTGCAAAACAATATTTTTGCAATATTCCGTCAATATTTCGTGCTATAGGGAATATAGCATATATACTATACATTACTACAATATAATAGTCAATTATTAATAATGTATAGTTGTTACGTGATATAATAATATATAGAGATAGTAATATATATTATATAATAATAGACTTAGAGTATAGTAATATATATATAAATATAAATTTAACATATATAAGATAGGCAATAAGAGCCAAATCGCGGATGACAGTGCGTTATTCTAAACGAAACTAAATTTTTTCGTTAGAATTAAATACCTGTGCACAAGGCACCAAATTTTTACTTGGACACGGCCAAGATATAAAATTGGAATAATCTCTACAAGAGATTTTTAATTCCATGTATCCCCTATTCCCCCTAAAGAAATAAAGTGCGAGAGAAAAATATAGATCCGAAAGTCGCAGAATCGGGAATCGAACCCGAGACCTTTCGCTTGCCGGGCGACTGCTCTTCCAACTGAGCTATTCAGATCCTTTCGATTCTATACTTTTCTCTGTTATATATATTAATGTTGGTAAATAAACGCCTTTAAGCCAGCGTGTATAAATTAAGAGTTTAACTAGGCTCTGTAATATATAAATATAAATTTAACATATATAAGATAGGCAATAAGAGCCAAATCGCGGATGACAGTGCGTTATTCTAAACGAAACTAAATTTTTTCGTTAGAATTAAATACCTGTGCACAAGGCACCAAATTTTTACTTGGACACGGCCAAGATATAAAATTGGAATAATCTCTACAAGAGATTTTTAATTCCATGTATCCCCTATTCCCCCTAAAGAAATAAAGTGCGAGAGAAAAATTTAGGGGGAATAGGGGATACATGGAATTAAAAATCTCTTGTAGAGATTATTCCAATTTTATATCTTGGCCGTGTCCAAGTAAAAATTTGGTGCCTTGTGCACAGGTATTTAATTCTAACGAAAAAATTTAGTTTCGTTTAGAATAACGCACTGTCATCCGCGATTTGGCTCTTATTGCCTATCTTATATATGTTAAATTTATATTTATATATTACAGAGCCTAGTTAAACTCTTAATATATATATAGTTATTGCATATAGTAATATAATTACTATAATAATAGTTGTTAGAATATAGTATAATAAAGTAGAATACGTATACTATTATAGTTATTATAATAATAGTTAATAATAGTATCTATAGTGTAATAGTACTGCAATAGTAATACAATAGTAGTTGTTATAGTATACGTTATAGTATGTAATAGTAGTAAAATAGTAGTTATAACAATAGTATAGTTAATTAAATAATAATATATTTTTATACATATATATATCTTTTTCAAAAATAATAAGGCAGTAAACGTCATTTAAAATTATTGCACGTATTATTAACGATACAATTATTAACATTAACAGTATAATTCAACAGAATATATGTATTATTACCTCTCGCGCTTGTGTCAGACATAATAATGAGAACCTTTAATCAATAATTTGTCGAAAAAAAGATACGTCGTAGACATATAAAATTCATGACATTCTCGGAACACTGAAATTCGCGTAATACAATTTACAGAAGACGTCCGTTTACCAAAGGTAAACGCTTGCGAATAATTGCGAATTACGTCGATAATATCGTGGCGGCAGCGAGCGGCGATTGTGAGAGTGTCACTTGCGAAATAACGAAAGAGCAAACTGGCAATTGCAAACGAAATATCAATCGCGCGGCAACTCCGTGTGCGTACATATGTGTAACATATAATAGGCTCGTTTAATAATTAAGCGGCCGCTCTCGCGATTCGCGAGTCTGTGCGGGCGAGCTTAATTAATAAATTGACATTTTCATAAATTAATCCGCGACTACACAAACTCGCGCACAAAATTGGCACGAGGACCGTTTACCGACTTTATCAATAATCCTGAGTGATTCAGCAACATTTGTTCGAAACCTCGTTATATATATATATTTTTTTTTATTATTTTTAATTTTAATTTTTTATAATGATATAAAAAATATAAATATAATAATATATGCTAATAATAACACTAATTTAAAAAATTTTTTTTTTCGTTATTTTAAACTAGACAAGGTGTTACTTATAGATTTTTAAATGCTGCAAGCTAATTTTTATTAGCATTCACTGGCAACTTCGTATTTAAATCCTTTTTAACATGATTAAAAAGTAAGATATTGAAATTTAAAAAATGCATTTTATACATTCATAA